GGCTGGCCGGACAGCCCGTGATGTCGACAGTGTGACAGCCACTGGAATAGATGACAAATTGTCCCTGGCTGACCCGCTGTAGACACTGCAAGCGAGTAGGGCTGAGGCTAGGGAGGGCTCTGTGTGGCAGCCACAGCCCTGGCCACTGGACTCCGCTGGGCCAGCTCACCCACGGGCACAGGAGTCCCCTGCCTGTTGCCGACCATGCTTTCAGGGGCCTCCAAAATGGCTTCGTCTCCTTTACAATCGTAAGAAATAAAGCAGATATCCTCAGCCTAGATTATCGTAACCTTTATCTTAACACAGTTGCAAAACCTAGTTTTTAAAGCTATTTTTATGGAGCAAGGGAGGGTTCCATGAAGGCAGAAGTGCGGGGCGTTGGCTCAGAGGTGTCGGCTGGCAGCCCGGGGCTCCCTCACGTGGCATCCTGGGACCCGGACCCGTGACTTTGTCACGGAAGAACACTGCTGGCCCCAGCTCCCTGCTGGCGGGCCCTTCCCACTGCAGGACTCACCCTGAGCTCTGAGGTCAAATGTCGCCCGCATTGAGAAGCCCCCCTGCCGCCCCTAGAAAGGAAGAGCAGAACCCTCAAGCACCGGCTCCTCCCCTGCCTCACGCCCTGTGTTCCCACTCAGAGCTGAGGCCCCGGAGAGGAGCCTCACCTCACACCTCTTCTCCAAGCTTGAAACCATGGACTGGGGACTACTAGACTGAGACCCCGAGGATGTGGGGGACAGAGTGGCTGTGACAGAGCTTTTCAGGTGGCTGTGACCTTCACAGCCTGAGTCAACAGCGGATTCTGCAGGGGGACCAGCCGAGGGACTGGAGGAAACCAACACAGGTAATGCCCAACGCCATACGCTTTATTGCCACTGGGCTTTCCTGCCCAGCGTTCTTCTCGTTCTGGGAAAGAACTTTTCCTTTTCTTGTTCTGGGTCCCTGGTCGCTGCTTCCTCTCCCTTGGCGGGGTGGGGGTGCGGCTGTTCCAGAATGTCCTCACCCCAGGCCTCCTCCCCCCCCCCGCCCCCGTGCGCCTGTAGTGCAGTGTGGGGACAGAGGGCAGTGGTGGTCCCCTGGCACCCACGTGTGGTGGTGCCCAAGATGACAGCCGGCGCCTGAAGGAAGGTCAGGGCCCTCCGGAAGGCCCAGGTCCCCCGGCCGGCCGGGTTCCCTAATTCAGGCGCAGCCTGTGTGGTGGGGCCTGGCTTGCTTGGGGCAGAGCTGGCCAACACGGGGGTCCGCTGCCCGGGACTCTGCGCAGACGGCGGGGGGCGGCCGCTCAGCCTCGCTGCACACCAGGTCTCTGCTCCTTGACCTCCGGGGCTCTTCTTAGCCTTTCCGGGGCCCGGGTCTCAGACTGGGGACTTGGAGACATCACTTCACTGATCCATCTCCCCGCACTGGGAAAGGTAGTGATGGACTAAAGTTGTGCTTACAGGCCTTTAGGATTCGGGAGCTGGCGGGCCCTGCTTCCCCAGAGCTTACCTGTCTCTCACCTGTAGTAAATCTAGGACAGTGGAAAGGGAGCCATGCCCTGCTTACGCCCCCAGGCCCCCAAAGGTGGTCGCCCTCCTGGCTGCCTGGCTCCACTGTTGGAGGCTTTCTGGAGACCAGAGCCAGGAGTGCTGAGCCGTGGGGAGGGCCGGCCGGCGTCTAGCGCTGGTGTGGCGGAAGGAGCTGGGCTCCCTGATCAGCATGGGCCTCCGCCGTCCGGGCTCCAGCCGTCCAGCTCTGGGGCTATTAGCAAACCCCTTTATCTCTCTCTGGCTCAGTTTTCTTATCTGTAAAACTGGGTTTTCAGTCCTATCTTTCTGTGGTGCAGATGAAGTGATATGAAGGATTCTTGTCAAGGCGCCTTCTGTAAACTGTAAATGGTTGTCCAGGTAAGTGCAGCAAAGGACACTCTTACGCCTAGTTCCTCTGTCAGGAGACACTATCCACTGGACTCTGTGGGTGTCCGAGGCCACAAGGCATTCGGGATGTAGCAGCAAGCGCTTTCTTGAGTTCAGCACCGCTACCCTGGGCCTTACCCCAGCTGCTGACTCTACTTTGGAAGCCTCTATTTCTAGGGCAGAAGGCTGGCTCCTGGCCAAGAATGATGTGCTCTGGTGATCCCTCCCATCAGTGCTGAGGAAAGAAAACCCACCCATGTCATTGCAAGGAGTGGGAAGGTCCTGCCTTCAGTCACTGAGTTCAGAAATCAGCCCTTAGGCCTAAGAGCTGCCTCTGACTGGGCCTAGACGAAGAGCCAGTGCTGGTGGGAGTCACTGGGGTTGCAGGGGGCCATGGCTGGCACTTGGTTCACAGATGTCAGGCAGGTACCGGATCCAGCGCTCCTGAGGAGCTGGTCCTAGAAGATGACAGAGCAAAGGGTCACCTGAGCCTCAGGCCTCCACTCGTGCAAGGGGGTGGGGTGACTGGAAAAAGGCAAGGGAGCCCACAGGCGCAGAGAACTCTTCCGAATTCTCCTCAAATGCCAGACACTCTGGCGGACGCCCTCCGGAGGGTCCACCCGTGTCCGCCTATGTCCTTCTGAGTGTCCACCTGAGGAAACAGGGTGACGGGCTAACTGGAATATGCTTTCTGGGCCCCCTCCTGGAGATGGCCAGTCTGCAAGCCCTGCTGCCCACTCCCACTGTCTGCCTTTGGTCATGCCCGACACCTCCCTCTGTGACCCTATTAGGTCCCTCTTCCCCTAAGCTGGGGACTAGAGAGGGGCACGGTGGCTTGGGGTGCTGCATTGGGTCAAGTACTGCAAGGGTGACATCACTTACGGGGGCAGTGATGCTTCAATGTATCCAGGCCTGCACCCCAGGCCTGCCGCTCACTAGTGACGGACCCCAACCTCGCTGGGCTTCAAACGGCTCATCTACAGAGCTGAGACACCCTCTACTTGGGACGAGCCAGAGAAAGACTCATCCCACCGACGTCTGTGGGCGCACTGCACGTGGCACCTGCTCTCCGTGACTCTCCACCTCCTACTTGGGTTCGGCCTGAAAACGCGTGAGCCGCAGCAGAGCTGCCAAGGGCCGGCACCCAACTCCACCTGTGGATCAGCCACCCCCAAACGCTGCTTGAGCCCCGAGAACCCCCCCTGTGCCCGAGTCCACTCTTCTGCTTTCACCACTGCCCTGGGCAGCCCGGGGCTTCTCGGGCAGAAGATGCCGAACTGAAGAGGGGCTCGGTGGTGGCCTGAGGCCCGAGTCGAGCTTCCGGGCAGCTGGCTCACCTGGGTCAGTTCCCACTCCTCATCCTTGGGGACTTGGCTGTTTCTGCCAACGAAGTGACAGCTCCTGAGGCCCAGGCTGGAGGCGCCGGCGTAGACACACAGCTGCTTGGCGATGTTGTGGCGAAGTTCCCTCTGGGTTGTGTACTCAAAGTACTAGAAGGCAGACAAGACAGGTGAGGGGCGCGGCTGGGCAGGCCCACGGCTGCCAAAGCCCCATGCCCTGGGGTGCCCTGGGCGGCCTCGGGAAGCAGGTGACCGCCCCAAGGGAGCTGCCTCCAGACGCCAGCACTTCCGGTGCCGCCTTGTGGCTCTTTACCGAGTCTGGGCTACGCAGAGTAATCGTTCCTCTCTTTGCTGTAATGAAAAGTTAAACGTTGACCCCTCCTTTGAAGCGTTGTTTGTGAAATCATGTGTTTGACACGTTCGTTGTTCTTCTGCTGGTAGTAGGTGACTATTAAGATAAAAATACTCATCGACGTGCCTAACGTCATCGCGATGCCACCGCACAGGAAAGAGCTTTAGACGGACTCGGTCTTCATTTGCGTTTGGTGCCCTGTGCCTCGGCCCTGGCCACTCCTGCCCCAGCTACCAAACACTGGGGGTTCAAGGAAGACAGGGACCCCGGGGCCCTCCCTGGTGGCGCGACGGGTTAGAGCACAGCACTGCGAAGCCCGCCGCAGCCACTTCATCAGCAAGTTCAATCCAAACCGGGGAGTGACCCATGTGGCGCAGACCTCTCCTGTTCCCCCCGCTGCTCCCCTCAGCAGTGCACTTCCTCCATCCGCCTGTCCTGCTCCCCACCCTGTCTCTGGCGAATCCGCTCATGCCCCAGCCCCTCTGGCCCGTACCCCCGCTCTGTTTGCAGAAATATTTTTTTTGGAACAAGCTGGGGTCACTAACAGCATGGAGGAGAGTCCCAGGATGTCAGAGGGTGGTTGCTTTGGGGTCACTGCTGCCTGTGAGGACCAGAATGGTAGCTTCTGGGCAGCAGAAGCGCTGAGGACACAGCTGAGGAGGACGGAAAGCGCTCAGAACTTTCCCACCTTCATTCTAAAACACCACTCAGCGGCTGGCAGCCCCTAGCGAGCTTCTGTACCTCCCACCCCCCACCCACCCTCTCCTGGCAGCGCAGCTGAGACCCAGCCTGCCTCTGGGTGTCCCCACTTCAGAGCTCTCACTGGTCTGTGGCATGCATCCCTCTCTGCCTGGTGAGGACAGGGGTGGCATCTCCCTCTCCCTCTGCAGACCCCCGCTCCCCACCCTCACCCCCTGAAGGCCTATTTTGAGCAGAGACCAGGGGCCTGGGAAGAGAGGAGGTGCCCAGAGGTAGGGGTCACCCAACTGCCCATACCTGGTTGCCACCCAGGCCGTGGCAGCTGTACAGGATGAGCGGCTTCCCTCCGAGGTTGTTCTCACCCACGTCCAGGCATTGGTTCACCCCCAGATTCCTGATCTGCAGAGGGGGAACCCGGCAAGGTCCGTCAGCATATTTCAGTTTGTGACGCGGGACCCAATGGGAATAGGCACTTTGGGCTCGGTCTGATGTTTCTCCTCTGCTCACTGCTCCCTCGTTAACTCAGATGCCTGCAGTTCATAGCAGAGTGAGGTGTGGAGCCCAGAGGCTGGGCAAGGGCCGGCTGGGCAAGGGCCGGCTGGGCAGGCTGCCAGGTCCCTAGGAAACACCCTTAGCACGTGAGACTTTGCTTAGCAGTAAAGGCTCAAAAGGTTACCCTGGGACTTGTTCGAAATGCAGCCTTCAGGCCCCACTCAGCCTGCGCAGTCAGAGGTGTGTGTTTTAACACCCATCGGGGGATTTTTCTGCAGGTTGACGCTCGAGAGCCACTGATGTGGTCGCTTTCTCTTTAGACGGTTTTCAGCGATCTCTGCAAGCCCAGCATGGTCTCTCCTACTGACCGGAGTGTGGACAGTACAAACCAATTCTTGCTCTCACCCCTCAGGGTAAGGGGCCCTGACCTCTCTGGTGGGGTGGGGGTGCTGCTATGTGGGTGGGCGAGCTGGTTCTCAAGACTCACAGAGCCGTAGAAGGTGGGTTTCAGGTCAGGAATGAACATCTCCGGGTAGATGTTGTTCAGGAACCAGGAAAAGTTGCGGCAGTGGAGCCGATCCTTCAGCTCGAGTCGTTCCGAAATGTCACCAAAGGATTTCTGTCAGTAAGTCAGCCCCAAGGTCAGTCCCACCAGCCTCGACCGCCTTGCCTGGGCGAACTGCCCGTTTGGCCGGGGGTTTGCTGCGACCAGAGTGGGCTTTGTGTTCATCCCTGCTCACGGCAAGTTGGGGTACTCCATGCCTCAGTCTCGCACCCATTCCCACCCCTCTGCCTTGGCTTTGGGGTCCCCACCCTTGGCCTCCTCCTCCTCCTCCTAGGACGTCCCAGCAAGTTTCCCACCAGTACCGTTTCTGAACTTCTCAAAGCCAAGCTGATCCCCGGAAGAAGTTCGTCCCCCAAACCCCTCTCACCGCTCTCGCCTCCCTCCCCCCCACTTCCTACAAGATGCTGAGATCTCTCTGGGGGAAGACAAAGGCTCGTCTCCCCCTACTCTAATCTTCAAAATCCAGCCTCTGGGGTCTCTAGCTCACAGGGTCTGGGGGTCAAAGCCTACACCAGGTAGAGCTGGGAGACCTCTTCCCATTCGGACCTCGAGTAGGGCCTCGGGTTTACACTTTCCTTGCTCCAACGCCACTTTCTCTCACCTCTTTGGCCATCTTTGCTGCCTGCAGGTTTCTCCGGTAGAAAAGCTCCTTGTAGTCATCCATCCAGACCTCAGCCAGGCGTACTTGGTTGCGAGTGATGACACTGGTGCCCTTAGGGAAGGTGTGGGGGCTCTTGGTACGGAACACATGGCCCACCACAGAGCAGGGGATGATCTCCAGCTGGCCCCCACATTGCCACACCTGCCGGGGACCGTAAGACGGGGTTTTCAGGTGTTGGGAGGGAGAGGCTCCCCCAGGCAGCTCTGTTCGATTCCAGGAGTCAGACCCCAGATCGAAGGACACAGGGAAGTAGTTTCCTCTCCCTGCGTGAAAGGGCATCGGCCAGCTTCAGCCACACCCACATAACTCTTGGCTGTCCTGTAGGCTTACTGATTTAAGGCTCTGAAGTCTGCAGGGTTCTGAGGCTTACTGGCCCTATTGAGAGGAAAGACAGATGGCTAAATTTGTGTCCCTGTGCCGATGCTGAGTTCTGGTGGCTTGGCTTTTTGACTGGGAAATGTGATTTTATCAGCTCACCAGAGCGTTTCTGGAAACTCACGTTCCTCTGAGTCAAGACAGACGGTGACCCAGTTGAGGACATCAGTGCGTTAATTAAAGGCGAGCAGAACCATGTGGGTGCCCGTGGGGGTCATCTGGACGTGTGGCACATGAGCTTCTGGAAGAGACTGAGCAGAGGTCGGAGGTTCTGGACCAGCCTAGAGTCAGAGCCCTGGGAGTTCCGGTGACAGCTCGTGACCCCTGTCTGTGGGGCGGGCCAGACTAGGCCCCTCCTCTCCGGTTTAGGTTTTAGGCTGGGAGGTGTGCTGGCGTTCATCTTAGCCCAGCAGCAACAGGCACATACAGCCATGGTCGCAGCAACAGCAGCTACTGGTGATGCGCTTAGTACATGCCGGGAGCAGTCAGAGGGGGCTTCCTCAATGAGCTCCCTTCCTCACTAATGACGTCCTCACCGGCACGGGGATGCATGTCGATTTTGTGGAGAGGTAATCCTTCCTTCCTACCAAGTCCTGATTTGCCTAAATGCTGGAATCCCTCTGAGTTTGGGGTCGTCTCTTGGGTGCCCCTTTTTTCATCCAGTTGTGAATCTGCTGAGCACAGGGTTGGCTACTGGGGCATGTGACTGTGCCCTGGAAAGGGGAGCCAGATTTTTCCAGAAAAGCAGTGTTGCTATTGACCTGTGCCCCTTCACCCTCTGTTTTCTCATAGGCATCATGAACGATGCCTCCAGTTCCCAGCTATCCAGTCCATGTCACCCCCGCTATTTCTGCCTTCTGAGAAGTCCTGCCCATCATTTGTTCCAAGTTGTGCAATCTGATGCTCAAAACCCCACTGCCCAGGGGCAGGGCGGAGAGCAGAGAAAAGGCGGAGTCAGGGCAGGAAACAGCTGCCCTTTGAAGTCCAGTGCCGGGCTGGCATCCCGAGACTGTCACCGCCCACGAGGCAGAACCTCGAGCTGTGCCCAGGAAGCTGTGGTTCCCCCATGAAGCCCTCTTCACTCTCACCCGGAAGGACATTTCCACGTTCTCCCCTCCCCAGATCTCCATCTGATTATCATAGGTACCGATGTGCTCAAAGTAGGACTTGGAGATGGAGAAGAGACCACCAGCAAACGTCGGGGACCTGGAGAGACAGAGGGAGAAGCATGTGCATCTTCTGAGGCCCGGCTCCCCCTCCGCTCCCACCTTCCGTCCCTCCCTCCTGGGGTATCACCTCTGTGCTGCTGATGTATTCACTTAGCAAATGTGTATCGGCATTCCCTGTGATGTTCCTTATGGGATGAGGTCAAGGAGAGATATAACTCAATTATCATTGCCCTCTTCTAAAAGGCACTCACTCACTCACGGAACCAAGACTGTATTCAACACCCACCAGGGCCTGTGCCATGAATGTGTCAGGCAGAAGGAGAAAGGCCCCATTTCCCGAGCACCCAGCCTAGCAGCAGAACAGAGACACTGAGGAGGTGTTTCTGGAAACAGAGTCGGAAGTGAGGTAGAATCAAGTTCAGCTTTGACGAACGGGGATTACAAGGAGATTCTGGCTGCAGGCTAAGGCAGAGAGGCACGGCCAGGCCACAGTAAGATGACCGACACCTCCCTCCTAGAATCTAGATACCACTTTGCGCCTAAGCCAGAGCTAGGGGCTGCAGGCAGGGGTGGGCGCCGGGGGGACAAGGACACATACGTGGGGTGAGCTCATGGCTGCTGCGCCAGCCCAACCCAGCGAGGCTCGGCCGCCCTCGGCGCCCGGCTCACGTGGCACACGCAAGCAGAGAGGTGTGAAAGTCAGGCAGCCGCAACGGGCCTCTGCCACCCGTCCCCTGAGCCCGGCCTGGGTGTCACCAGGAGGCTGCTTTTGAGGCTGGCTCCCACAGCCCTTTTCTGGGAGGGCTTTCATTCAGGAGGCCTGCGTGCTCGGGCAGGCTTTCATGCTCTGACCTCTTGCAGGGGTTCGAAGCCAGCTCCAGTGAGGCCGGGAAGAAAGACAGCCCAGGGGCTCTCGCTGAGCATTCTGGAGCTAACCTGCTTTTTCTTGGGGGTCTCCCCAGCTTTCTTGGGCCTGCCTCTTGGTGTTATGAGGTCTCCCCCGTGGAAAGGCACAGATGATAAAACCTCTAGGGGACCTGGCGGTCGTGCGGCCCCACGACCAACAGCCCACCCCTGGAAACTGCCTGATTCCTGGCCTACTCTCCAGCCCCACCCTCCCCTGCCGGGGCCCCTTGCTGCCTGTGACTGTCAGAGTGAGGCCGAAGGTGCCAGCTGCTGGCTGCTGGTGTGATGCCCCTCAGGCGAGCCAAGCACCTCACAAGGGTATTTGGACCAGGGAGCAAATTCATTCTGCAGACACTGGCGCTTTGTCTTCCATCTGTGTGGACCTTGGATATGGAAGTCAGAGATGGGCAGCAGCCAGGTGCCCGTCCCAGACTGTGCTACTGCGTGCCTGGGCCCCACTTGCGGGAGGGGGGCTTGACCACTGGCCACAGGGAGGGGGCCTGACCACTGGCCACAGGGAGGGGGCCTGACCACTGGCCACAGGGAGGGGGCCTGACCACTGGTGCACCAAACAAAAGGCATCCCTAATACTGCAGCAGAGGGTCAATGGAGGGCCCCGCTTCTTCTCTTCCTTCTGCCTTTTCTTGTCCCCCTGAGCCCCTTCTGCTGCTGGAGAAGGAAGAGCAGCTGGCTGTTCAGGCCCATGGTTTCCTGGTGTGGCACCAGCCCAGCCCCTCTACGAGACGCCTGATGTTTCTTAGGATTTGGCCATGTGGAGGGGGAGGCACTGAACCCCCTCCTCTGTTCAAGCCTTCTTTCTGCTCAGTGGACCCCAGCTTCTGCTTCCCTCCATCCCTGATGATGTTGTTGATCCTGCAAGGGGGACGAGGGGGTGCGCCCGGCCAGCAGCCTCTGCCCGGCAGCATGGGAGGCCAGTGTTTAATCAGCTGGAGACGGGCGTTCTCGCCTGTCGATCAGACTAATCCTGGGACCTACCTCACAAGACATGAGGATTAAACAAAACATGGCAAGTGCTTGATAGCGCCTAAGTGATGTTGACTCGGTGTCACCCAGGCCCCCGGGCCGGGTGAGCCCCGGCTCTCGGAGGCCAGGTGGGGCTCGCCAGGGGTGCTTACTTGATGGGGTAGGTCTCATCCTTGCGCCTCTCATTCTCATGTGGAGGCAGAGTCTCCCAGCCAAAGGTCAGACTCCAGTCAAAGTTCCCGCGGCTGTGCACTCTGCCTGCAGGGACCGGCTTGGAGAACTCAAACGTGTTCAGGTTGATGGTGACGATGTCTGGGCTCACCACCGCGGTCTCATCCTCGGCGATCCGAGCGAGAAGGGGCTCCAGCCAGCCGTGGAAGCACTCGCCTGCAGGCCCGGACCAGAGGAGCGGTCAGGCGCTTAACCACAGAGGAGCCTGTGCCAGGGGGAGACCCGGGAGGACAAGATGACCCTCCGCCCACTCCCAGGGTATAGGCAGACACGGCCCGCTCCACAGCTGAAGCGAGAACAGGGTGGTCTCCTGAGAGCTTCGGACAGGCAGCTTTGGAGGAGTGACCAGAGGTGTCACTCAGCCGACGCAAGTCAGGTCAGCTTTTGCTTTAGCATTTGCACAGGGAGCCTGCCCGGCAAGCGTGGGGTCACTAGTGGTCACAGGCTGGTGGCTGCAGGGAGAAAGGGGTCCCCGGCGCTGGAGCAGTCTAGACCCCCCACTCTCCTGAACAGCAGCCCGGCAGGGGGGCCTTCCAGGGCCGTGATAGCTTTTCATTCTCCAGCGAGGGGGCCGGACACCCCCCTCCCCGGCCTCCCGCTGCCAGCCCGGGGTTTGTACTTACAGTGGGCATCCAAGAAGGTGAGGACCTCTGCCTGGGCCACGCTGGCCCCCAGGAGCCGGGCGGTGATCAGCCCCTTCCGCTCCTGCTGCCGCACCACCCTCACCACCTGCAGCTGCTTCACGTACTGCTCCAGGGTCTCCTTCAGGTACTCTGGAGGGACAGCACCACGGTGGGCAGCTGACCACTGTGCACCAAACCTAACCCCAAGCTGCCAACAGCCCTCACTTTAAAACCTCTCACGCCAGGCCCTCCCTGGTGGCGCAGCGGCTTAAAGCACAGAACTAAGAAGCTAAAGCCACTGCAGCACGCGTTCGATCTCTGCCCCGGAGGTGACCCACATGGCTGGCAGACCTCTCCTGCCCCGCCCGCTGCTCCCCTCAGCAGTGCAGTGTACATTGTCAGTCAGCCTGTTCTGCTCCCCGCTCTGTCTCTGGTGAAGCTTCTCGCCGCCCCTGCACCTCTGGTCTGTACCCCAGTTCTGTATGCACAGATAAATAAATCTTTAAAAAAATAAAAATAAAACCTCTCATGCCTCCGGCATGCAGCATTTCCAGAAGCCGGAGGTGGAGAGGGGAAGGCGGGAGTCGTCTGTGTGGTCAAGCACCCCTGCCGTCCTTTGCCGGCCCGGCTCGCTGCGCCCACCTGCGCCCGTGTCCACCCCGGCACCTTCTCTAATGTCAGACGCAGGAGTCGAGCTTTTATTGTGGCCCCGACGAGCGTCCACCTCTGCCAAAGGCTCTCAGGCCTCTCGGGGCCTGCTCCTCTCAGCCACCTCCCGCCAGCCTGGGGTTCCGGCCTGGCCTCCCGGACCATTTCTCAGCATCTGATTCCCTGTCTCCCCAGCTCTGCTGTCTGCACAATGTTGATTTCTGGCTTGCTGGATCAGCAGATGAAATCTAGCCCCCTTTATTAGACTTCTGCATATATGGAACTCTTTATGAAGAAGAAAAGTTGCTGAGCAGCTTTTTAATTAAATTGAAAAGCACGTACCAAGTGTCTGCCGGGAACAGGCCATGGCAGGTGATCAGAGACCTGCCTAGGTGGTCTGGGCTGTGGAGCCCACAGGAGGGCACTGGCCTGAATGTTAGGGGGGCGGGGAGGGCGCTTCGCAGGGCAGGGTCTCTGCTGGGACCGCCGCTCCTCTGACCCGGGGCTTACTTCACACGCCTGTCATTCAGCCGGAAATCGCCGGAGCATTCTGAAAGGGCTCTATTCTGAAGCCGTCGCCTAGAAACGTATTCCAAATCCAGGTCTGTTTCACTGCCTGCCATTCTGGTCTATCTGTGCCACTAAGCTGACCTGCAGAATGGAGCTGCCTGCAGTTTTAGGGGCAGAGGGGGAGACGGGGTGACAGGCGCGAGCCCTTTCGCTCTTGGGCCGTGTGTGGGATAGCCCGGTGCTTCCATCTTGCTTTGAACGCAGCGTCACACAACCGACAGCCACTGTGGGTGAGACTGGTTTCTCTCTCTCTCATTCACACATACCTGCACACCCCGATATGCCCCTCCCCCCTCCCCAGTACTTGACCACCTGCTCTGTGTCAGCCACTAGCTAGGTGCTTCCATGTTGACACTATTTAATCATCTCTCCAACAGTTCAAACACTGAAATTCATGAATCCAAGTCAGCCTTGGGGGCAGCTCTGGCCTGGCTCTCCTTAGCAAACGCTTACTGTGGGGGCAGGGGCGAGACGCCCCTCCCTGGGTGGGGAGGGCCTGGCTGGGATCCTGCCGGCAAGGAGCTCCTAGAATCCCTGAAGTCACCCCAAGCACTGGCTCTTACAGGAGAGAGGGACGAACCTGATCTTCCTAGGGGGGTTGATATTCCCCTGAGACTCACTTGACTGTTCACAGAAGCATACGGTGGTGGAGACAGCCCAGAACAGAGTATCATAGGAAGTGGGTTCTGCGGTCAGGGGTGTGAGGCACCCAGCTGTGACCCTCCCCGGGCCTGGGTGCTACAAAGTGCCTCTCCCACGCTTTCCTTCCTGTCTCAGCTGGGCCTGGCGAGTCTGAGCCTCCACCCCGGGCCCTTCTGGGGAGTGGGCTTGAGAAAGGCCCTTCGGTGATGCTCTTTCTGACAGCTCCCGCCTGTGACAGCACCCAGTGCCTGGGCACACACCCCGGAGGTGAGTGGGGGACACAGATAAGCACATCCATGCTTTCTTGCTTCCTCCACAAAATAGCCTCAACACCCCACTGCCCCCACCCAGCTCTTTCCTCACGCCCGGAGACTCCCATGGCCCCCAGCACACACACCTCGCTCGGCCCCACCACTGAGCCACCATCTACGTGGGGTAACTCCTGGGGCCGCTTTCCTGGCCCTGTCAGCTTTAGTTGGATGCCTAATGGCACCATGAGCCTAACACGTCCCAACGAACTCCAGATGCCCCCCACACGGGGTCTCCATCTCCCCCCGTCCTCCTGGCTCCTAATCCAGCGGTGAGCCGGGCTCTCCCCTCTGCCACCCCCTGCCAGCCCTCCATCGGAAGCCCTCTCTGCACACGCCGGCCCCAGCACAGACGCCCTCACTGGTCTCTGGCTGTCTGCTCACTCCTCCGAGGCTGCTCTCTGCAAGTAGCCACGCTCTCTCTGAAAACTAAATCAGGACACGTCACTGCCGAGGCCTTAAAACTGCATTTCAGAAAAAGCCTAAACTGCGAGGCAGCTCCACCCTAAGCTAAAGTCACCACGTGAGCCAGTCATTCCACTTCTGGAGACAGACCCCCAAAGAAGGGCGCACCCCCATGTCGACAGCGCTGCTCATGGGGACCCCGTGTTACACCCCTGTCCACGGGCAGGCGAGTGGGCAGACGGAGATGGAGCTGCGCGAGCAGTGAAACAGTCATTCTGACAAAGGAGTGTACCCTGACATGGGCGAAGGAAACATTATGGGTGAACTAAGTCAGTTACAGGACAGTGGGAAGCATCTCCACTTCCTGGGGCACCTTCCCAGGCGTGGGGGGCCAGCGGCTGGCCGGGAGGAATGGGATGCTGTTTCATGGCTATAGAGTTTCAGC